ATTAGGGTTGGTTAAGGGAGTGTAAGATTCGGGAGAATCTTAGTAGCAAACTATTACCCATGTGTATACAATACTAATGCTTGGTGGATGACATGCTTGGTTACACGCTTTTATACTTTTATGCTTATTAAATGACATGCTCTAATGCTCAATGTTTCATTCAATATGGCCATGGAATATACAAGAAATAGAGCAACATTCAATCTTTCATAATCTAAATCATCATCAAGCAACATTAACACACAAGTATACAAATCAAGCACACAATAAGGGTAGGTTCACTACCTTGCACCATTAAGTTTTCTCTTGCTCCTTTTGCCTTCAACCAATTAGGTTGCTTGCTCAACCTTACCATTCATATTTCTTGGTGCCTTATGACCCTAAATTCATATAGGACATTAATAACCAATCCATCAACACAATGAAAATCACTAACAACCCTTACTTTCAAATGTGATTCCTTTTTAACTTTAACTTTTCACTTCCTTATTCTTAATTTCTAAAATCATTCTCTTAACTATTTCCCGCTCAATTTTTTATGAGGAATCCAAATATAAGATTTGATTTTAACAAAATTGAACTCCTTCCCCATAAAACACACTAGGCCGAGAGGTTAGGGTTATAGGGTTCAAAATTTTTATTTTCAATTTTAATGCTTCCAAACTTGTTTCCTCACTTATACCCTACACAATTTTTCATTCTAAACTCATTGAAAGCATCAAAATCCAACCCTAGCCTCAAGAATCAGCCTTGGCCAAAAATGTACCCCTAGATACACAACCATGAAATCTTTCACAAATCATCTCAAAATCACTTGATTCTCATTCCTTTTAAACCTTTAAATATGATTCTAGCATTAGTCAATTTTTTCCATGATTTAAATATACTTGAACAGCATCTCATCCTAGGGTTTCAAGCTTTTAAAATCCATAAAAACCATGGCTAAACTCAACAAGATAAATAGCAAGACAAACTATGTCAAAAACTATAGCCATACCTTGTCTTGAAGCTTGATCTTGCATGGTTTATCATGATCTTCTTCTTCTCCTTTCTGCCTTCATATTTTTAGCGTCTTTCCCCCTCTTCTCTTGTGTTGGCCAAAAATCTTGGCCATGTGGGAGGGGAAGGAGTATTTGTAATGCAAGTCAAATTTACTTTATGGTAATCTTTCAAATTCACCATTTACTTTCACCATGGATACCTGGTTTGATCTTGTTCCACTTCCCTTGTGATTTTTTCACATAAACCCTCTTAAGTATCCTCCTCATTCAATAGAAATGCCACCTCATGGGACACATCACATGCTACCTATTCCACATGTGAAGAAACATAATATTTTATTACATAATTGCATTCTTTCAAACTTAACCCTTAACAAAATGTATTATTTCATCCATGTCCCCTTATTAACTTTTCCTTAAAATAGGGAATAAAATAAGGAGAAATTTGTGTATAACCATACCATTGGCTATTCCTGCACTTATTTTATGATTTAACTTCGTGTCGGGTACTTTTTGGGGTCCTGACTTACCTGGTAACCCTGAGACATGTTCTAACATCCTTTTTTTATTACAGTTAACCTTGCATGACATTATATAATAATATTTATTTTTCTATTAAAATATTTAATAATATTTATTTCAGAGTAAACTTGCTCAAACTCTCTATATTAGTCCATGATTCCGAGAATCTGTCTCTGTGTCACATCCCGCTAATTTTGACCTTGGAAATGTGAATAATATATTAAACAAAAGGTCAAGCCATAATTTAGAATTAGAGCTAGAATCATTTTTGAGGTGAGATCTGACTCTTATCTAGACTAATATTTTTGAAATTATCGGTCCAAAAAGGGAAAAAAATTCTAAAAAATTCCCAAAAAAATGAAAAAATAGTAAATTAAAGGTTTTGGAACCTCATTTGAGCCTTGGAGGTAGAAATAAGATGAAAATAATTTATTGCAGAATTTTATGTAAATAGAGGTTTTTCGGGAAAAATAAAAAAATTATGCCAAAACAATTATTTTAAATATGTGGAGGCCTCAATAATTTCAGATAAAATATGAAATAATTATTTAAATATTTATTTGAGTTTATAAAATTAATTCCAGGCCCTGAAAGTGCAGTAATTAATTTTAAAATATTTATTACCAAAATTTAATCGATAAAACCCTATTTCAGAGAAAATTCAAAATAAATAGTTAGAGGTTGAGATAAATTTTGAAAATTTTCAGAGGGCTTTCCTATATTAAAAATAAGGTTTTGATGGAGAGAAATAAATTTTTAGAGGTCTAAACTATTTTTAAAAATAGTAACCAAAATAGTAAGTTTTAGACAAAAATTGATATTTCTTAAGTGGCCACTTTTTCTTCCTTTTTAAATTAGATTTGGGCTTCATATTGGGCCAAGAGGGCCCAAAAATTTCATACAAATAGTGGCCCAATAATTAAGGAGTCATAAACCCAAATTAAGTCAAAATATCAATGAAAAAATCATTGGCACATGAAACACTTGGCAAGAGCTGAATTGGAGGTTTAAGAAGGGGGACACGTGGCCTTTTCGTTGGCAAATTTTTAGCCACAAATGCAAGGGGGAAGGCTGGCCAAGACACCCTATGAATACCCCCTCCATTTTAATATTTCAGCCAAAATAAGAGGGACCTTGGGGAGGTGCTACCAAACTAAAAACTCAAGCTTAAAAAAGAGCCTTAACCATGCATTTGGAGGAGGAAACATCAAGCTTTGATCAAGGATTAATCAAGGTAAGTTTGGGCTTGATTTTGGTTGAGTTTACAGTGTTATGGTCAAGAATTCAAGTTGTAATCCAAGGTCCTTATGCTGTGATGTTTCAGCTGAATTGAATATGTGTTAGGGAAGGATAGAAACCTTGAATATAGGGGGTGTTTGGATGAGGCAAAACCATAGTTTGGAGAATAGCTTCTGGAGAATAGATTCTGGGGAGAATAAATTTTGAAAGAATAGCTTTTCTGAAAAAGTGATTCTGATAAAGTGAGAGTGTTTGGATAATTATTGTCAGAAGTGCTTTTTGATATGTAGAAATTACTAAAAAAGACATAAGTTTAAATGATAATTACATGTAAGATATATTTCATAATATATGTTTATTTGAAGTAGTAAATTTGTCAATAATATATATTTTGGCAACATAATAAATAAGACATAATAATATAAATAATAAAAAATTAATGTGTATATATATTAATAATATAATTAAATATGTTTTGAGGAAAATGATTTATTTTGCCAAAAAAAATATTATTATTTCTTAAAGATGAAATCCCATAATTTTTTTTCACAAAATTAAATAACCACACAAAAAAATTTCATATTAATTGTCTTAATAATAAAGGTTGCAACGAAATATATTTGTCCAAGTAGTTTTTTTTAACAACACATTACATTATCTGAAAAGAAAAAAGGAAATAAGAAAGACATGGCTATTCTTGTATATAGTGAACAATTTGATCTCTTATAGAGTCACGAAGTCGAGCCATGTGAGATGAAGATTCTATTGATGAAGGTATATGTGAAGATCCAACTCTATCATCATCATTATTTTCTTCTGCATAAGAACCTTCTTGTTCAAACTGAATGAAACAAGGATCAGAAATGGATGTTGATCTAATAAAGTTATGTATGGCCATCGTTGCACAAACAATTTGAACCTGTGTTGGAAAGTCATAGCTCGGCATGTTTCCTAAAACTGCAAACTTACTCTTCCAAACTCCAAAAGTTCTTTCAATAGTGCTCCGTAGACTTGAGTGCAAATAATTGAACGCCTCATTCTCATTTTCAAATGCAGATGACCTTCGAAAATCAGGGAGATGGCAGCGTTCATGTCTGTAGGGACCAAGATATCCCATGGGTGTCGGATAGCCAGCATCGACCAAATAATATTTGCTTACATGAAATATATGATTGGTGTCAATAAACTTTGTTTTCTAACAGTTAAGCATAAATAAATTGTAGTAATTTAAAATATACCTTGAGGCGGATGGGGAAAGTTCATGGAAGGAGTTGTGAGGGCATGGTCAAATATACGAGCATCATGCGCACTACCTTCCCATTTGGCCAATACAAAAGTGAAGCACATGTCCCAATCATAAACCGCCATTACATTTTGCATCACTCTTCCTTTTCGGTTAATAAATTTTGTTTGCTCAGTTGCATCAACAATGCATTAAATATGTGTTCCATCAATTGCTCCAATAGCATGTTTGAAAAAGGGCCAGTATAGACCATCGGGTCGTATTTTTGTATGCAAATGCTGAAATGTTGGATCTTTTGGTTTGATATTGGACATAGCAAGTCTACAGCATGCCAATAAGCCATTATGGAAATGTCTACTAATTGTCTCCCCTGAATGTTGGAATCTTTCTTGCTGCATCCTACTACTAAGCGCATGGCCAACGGTATTTAAAAACATTGCAACCATTTCATGTATCCCAACATTTCTAATTTCCCTTAGACCGTGTTGTTGCAATTCTGTGCAAAGACTGAAGAACACTTCCCTTTCCATCCTAAACATGTTATAACAACGGGTGGAATGGCCTTGTAAAACATCCCTTACCCATGCCTTGCCTGTATAAATACTTGTATGCTGGGGCTCTTTACACAAATGAAGAGAAGCGTATCCACCAACCGCTACTGCAACTTGATTAACCCATTTGTTCTGTTGTTTATGATACTTTTTCGCAATTTTATTTTCATCAGCCATTTTTTGTCTTGTCCTGTGCATATAGACATAAAATTTAGAAACCCTGATATGAAATTACTAAACATTTAACAAGAAAATAAGTTGTTTCATTCCTACAGAAATTTAGAAGTCACATAATACAATAGTGCTGGTTACATAATTCCTAAAAATATATACAAATTATCACAGTCATCTTCTAAGCAACACAAAAAGTAGTCAAATACTATAATAAGCAACACAAATGAAGTCTCAATCTGTGGTTGCATGCTTCAAGAAGATCAGGAGTTTTTACCTCTTGTTCTTCAAAGCCACATACATCTCCCTTGTAGCTGGCTTGTCCATGAGGAGTGTTGTGCACCGGCTAAACAGATCAGGATCATCAGTAACTTCATCAACTTCATTAAGGTGCTCCATGACTCCCGCAATTGACGTCTCATAAGCACGTGCTTCTTCTAGCTTCCTAGCACGTGCTTCTGAAATCTCTTCATGTTCACGCTGAGAATCATTTTCATTTGCTTGAGCTATCCTGCTTAGTGTATCTGCTATTTTCATAGTGGTAGTGGGTTTCTTCTTCATGGATTCACCTTTTTTTCTAACCCCTAATGAGCTACTAGGTCGATTGCCATCTGTAATTCTACCCCCACGAATGGTTTCTTGTCTCATCCTAGTGTTGCCTCCACTTCCTCCACTATTGTCATTGAATATGACCGAATTAAACTCCCCGCTTATGCCAGTTGGTGCTCCTAAAAGTTCATCACCATCTCCAGACCCTTCTTCCATATCATCTTCAGGAACTCCTTCGCTTGGAAGTGTCTGGAAGAAGGTGTCCATGACTGTGGTCCAGTTGCAGCTACAGACCCAAAGAGTTGAGTCAATTCAGCCCGAAATTGAAGCCTTCTTTCTCTAAATTTCTCGTAGCCTGGAACTTCCTACGCATTCAACACCAAAAATATAATACATTATGCAAAAAACGTTAACATATGAGAAAATACAAGCTCAAATAAAGCTAAACCATTACCACTATTTTCTTCTCCCACCAATCATCGGGCACTAACAGTATTCCTTTCGGCATCCCACCCCAAACCTGTCTCACGGAGCAGCCTATCCCATAATTGCCACTCCTTTCACAGGGTATCATATTTGTTCTTCAATTGGATTATTGTATAGACTCTCCCAGTCTTTGCAGTGAAACTGTCCACAAGACTTGTCCAAGCAGGTTTTGTCAAGTTAGTTCCTTTTCTTCCCCCTTTTTCAACTTCTTCAATGCACAGGTCAATAAAAACCTTTGTGGTTCTTATATCCCATGAAGCTTTGCCATTTTGTTTACTCATTATACTATAGACCAATTACAACACTTCAGTCATCACAAGTTCAACCCAAAAAGCATGCCATTCAGTCCAAGAGATATGATATAACAAGTATAGAATTTAACAAGTTTAAGCATAAGGGGCATCATCAAGGCCCGTTTGACTTCAACCAAAGGATTATACTCAACCAAAGGTGTTATACTGTTATGTAAACCATAGAGGCAGGAAAATCCATAGAAGTAGGAATCCATATGCTACAATGAAAGCAAGACCGAAAATATGACTTTATTTAGCATGTTTTCTTTTTGAGACATTATGGGTCATTTAACATCATCAAGAAATAAACACAGCTGAAAACCAAACACTGCCACAGGGTAACCATCCTAGATATTTCATTTCTTGTAGTACTAGCTTTTATTTCAGAATAAGTGAAAATAAAAAGTCCAGCTAAATAACGAAATAGAGATCAAAATCTCAAATAATCAGGAAAGTTTGCCATCATATTTATATATCACATACTCTCACTTTATTTGTTTATTTCCTTTTATTAGTCTCTTATTTGTGAACGCGGTGCATGTGTAACATGTACTCATATGTTATTTCTTAATTACTTGTTAATAATACAAGTGCGATTACCGGTCAAGTCATTGTTTATTAAATTGACTTTTATTCTAATGTCAATTTATGAAAAAAATAAGTGGGATAAACGATCTTAATCTAAATAAGCCTAGAATTAATTACTTTAGCATCTCATCAAAAGCAAGTTGTGTAACAAAACTTGTAATTAGGAAAATCGGGTGAAAGCTAAGGGCCAGGCAGAGGCCGATTGTCCCAGATAAGAGGCAGTTTCTGAGGCAAAGTCGGCTTAAATAACATTTAATTGAAAAGCCAATGCACACTATAATAATAATAATAATAATAATAATAATAATAATAATAATAATAATAATAATAAGCCGCCCCCAACCCCAGCCCAAAGGCATGAAGAAGATGACGCGTTCATTTATCTGATCCATTTCTGGGTGGACTCTGATTACCCATTGCCTAATCCTTGTAGGTCGTTACATGTCATGCGACATGTCATTTGGAAGATGTCCAGTTAAACTCAATGCAACCTTTACTTTCCTGCTCTTTCAGTTTTACCGCCGGTGTCCTATTTTTTTTCCCTTCGACTAAACAAAGTATGCCTCGCTCATGGAAAACACAAAAAAGAAGAAGAAAAGGGGACCGGACTCGCTTGGACATACTTTTTTTTTATGAAATCAAAATTGATACTTCATTGCATCAGATCAGAAATGAAGGGGAGAAGTTACCTAAGTGCTGGATCTGATCGACTTCTCCAAAACGTCGACTGGACGAAATGAACACCGCAGCTATTAGAAATGGAAGAATGGATCAGGCAACCCAGCACAGGATCTTGTGTTGCCAAGCCGATAAACACCTCACTAGGGCCAAAATTCATGAGCTCACAACGATCTCACCTATGGCCAGAACTTCGGTCGAAATTTCAGTAGGGACGACGGCAAAGGAATGGGAGAACAAGTAAATGGGAGAAGAGGCAGAGTAATTTTGGTGCTTTCTCACCATTGGAGCCTCTGACAGGAGTAATTATTACTCCAACGACCAGTGTTTGCATTCTGAGAAGCTACAATTTTTTGCTTCACTGGAAACCTTGGTTTTGCTGGCCAAAACCAAGGTTTTGGCAGAAACCTTGGTTTTTTTTTAAAAAAAAAGGGTGTTTGGCAATCAGCTTCTCCAAACCAAGGTTTGGGACCCAGAAGCACTTTTGCCCCAATTGCCAAACACCCCCATAAGCTTGTATTAACATGTTTAAAGGGTATTTGGATTGAGTTTTGGAAGAAAACCAAAGTTAAGGTTAAAAACACCCTATTCGACCACTATGCAAAGTTGGGGTTAGAGATTGTTTCAATGTGATTTGATGATTCTAATGAGTTTAAAAAGTACTTTTGTGTAGGGAAACACCAAAAAAAATATTTAAAATCATTGGAATCAAAAATGAAAATTTTGAAAGTTATACTATGCTATTAGGCCAAGTCAAGATGGAAGGGAAGGAATGTGATTTTATAAAAGTTAATTTGATATTTGAATTCTACATGAAAAATTATGCAAAAATGGCCCAAGAAATTGATTGAAACAAAGAGAGAATAATTATGTCAAAAATCAAAGAAAAAGGGGTTTAATTGAGCTTAATGTCAAGCATCAGTGTTTATGCTTGGATTATTGATAATTTAGAATGTGTTTATACTTGGATTGATAGGCATTGTGCAAGAAAACAAAGAGCACCAAGTCTTAAAAGAGGCTGAATATTGTGGATTAAAAAGAGGTTGCATGGAATTCACAATTTTTAATGTTCACTTTCTTGGTTGTTACATAATATTATTACTTGAATATATGCTATGTTGTATTTGAGATTACTCAATGAAAATGACATGTTAGTTAATTGCATTATATGTCTTGGCAACATGCATTAACTTGTTATTTATGAGTGGATTGTGATGATATTTGCATGCAATAGATTGTTCATGAATCTATATGTAACCTACCTTGCATGTTTGACATTATTATTGTAATTCCTACTACTGAGATTTCTATAAAATCTCATTCCTTCATGTTCAGATATTTACCAATTAGGGATTGGATCAAGCAAGGACAAAGGAAGGGAAATCACCTTGGGAGATGATTGAATTTAATGCCCTTGAAACTATGTTTTGTAAATTATTATGAATATTGTGAATTATGTTGGAATATTGTCTTAATGATTAAAGTAATATGCCTATGAATAGTTGGCCAAGGAATGATGTTTCAGCATATGTTATGTCTTTTGAAATGGTTATATGGATTGGAAAGAAAAGAAAAAGCAAGAATGGCATACAAGAGGGATAAAAGTTGACTTTTTGATGGTAAAGTTTGACCAACAAAATTTCATGCAGTTGGATGAGTTTTGAGCTAAAATTTGGTAGACTCATAGATCATACTTTAAGCTTTAAAGCAAGTGGTATTTCATCAAATTTGGAGTTTTTTTTACAAAGAGTTATGTCCTTCCAAAGTTGGGCAAAAATTCTGAAAAATAAAAAATTGACTATATGAACAGTACCACTTTGCACAAAATCTAGAACTGATTGATGAGTTCTAGATGCCAATGAGTATTTTTTCTTTAAAGAGCATGTCAAAAGCTTTCCATAGAACTTGGAACATCTCATTTCAATTTTTTTAAAATTAGTTATGAATTTTTAAAATTTGGCCTTTATTAGGGTTACAATGAATAGTAACCCAAATTTAAGAAAATTTAAAGTTCAAAATTTTCCAACTTAAGGCAATAAGAAATGATTCTAAATGGTTCTAATTGAGATAAATTGAGGTACAAAAGTAAGGTGTGACACTCTGGGTACTGACACTACTTTTTCATCATGGGGAATTTCTCTAATTTTTGTCAAGTCAAAAGTCAACCTCCAGATGGTTTATTTTGACTTTTCCTAGACATTGTATAATTAGGCTTTGAATTCTATTAAAGCCAATCTCTTTGCTTTGTAGGAATAAAACCATTTTCAAAACTTATGATAATTCCTCAACCATTTATTCCCTATCTATCAACAATTATCTGAGGCCTCTTTATATTGTAAATAATTTAATTTTGGCCAATATTTATAATTAGCCAAAACCTTGGGAATTTTATCAATTTGCTTCAAGGGTATTTTTGTCATTTTTAACCTCATACAGGCCTCAAAACCTCATTTCCCATTTTTTTTTTAAAGAATTTCCAGGTGTACTTTTCCATAATTGCCCTTTCCAACCCAAAAGTTTTTGAATTTACGATTAGATCCCTTCTCCAAGGTTGAATCATCTCATTGAGGTTCCCAGCACAACCTTTAGACCTTAATCATCTCTAATTTCCATACTTGAGCCTACTCTTGAGATAAACTGACTTGCCTATCTCGTGGTTCCAAAAAAATTTTTATTTTGCGATTTAGTCCCTATGAATCTTCTTGTCCTTCCAAGAAACTTCTGGAACTCCTGTCAAAAAGAGTCTAGTAGCTTGCCCATTTAAGCTAATTCTTGTACTTCTAGGCCTGAAATCTGGATGTTACAATTCTCCCTATCTCAAAAGAAATTTTATCCTCAAAATTTTCGAGTCAAACCTCTATTCTTATCCTTAATGAGAGGTTAACTGAGGAGAGTATCCCCACTTGTACTTAACTTTGGCCGTTAATTTTTTATCTTGAAATCTATACTCACTTTTAGTGGTAGGTTTTGATCTTGAAATCTATACTCATATAGCTTACTGTTCCATACTTTTTTTTTTTAATTTACTCAAGCATGGCTTTTGCCTTTAAGTATTTTATCGTTGGTTGAGTAACAGAGTATCAACTATGGGTTGTTTTAAGGCAGTTTTATAGGGCTCTCTATGTATTTCATCATGGTGAGCACGCAACACAAAAGAAGAGAGGATGCTCTCTGTCTCAGTGACGTGCATAGTGAACATCACAAAGGAGCTTGATCACTTCT